CACACACACACACACACACACACACACACACACACACACAAATGCTATTGGCTAAGGAGATAACTCAGCAGTCTAATTTACTGCCTGACAAGCACAAGGACCTGATTCAATCGCCAGAACTGCATGATGTGCCACCATACCACTGTGCTCGCCACCAAAACTGGGCGTGGTGGTACACACCTGTAATCTCAGTACTGGAGAGGCTGAGACAGGAAGAACACTGTGAGTCTGAGCTGTGTGGCAGGACCTTAAAGAAAGAAAGAACAAAGAAAGAAAAAATATTTTTTTTTAAAAGAAATGCTATTGATTTTTTGTGTTGATATTGTATCATGTTCATTACTTTCTGTGTCTAGGAATGGTGTTTATTTTTAGTGTTCAGGTGTTACTAGAATAAATCTGACAAAGTAACTAAAACTAGAAAGTCACTAATATATTTACTCAGTGATCACAGGGTTAATAGAAATTGAAGTGTGCAGTCTTGTAATACTTGCTTTCATATTACCTTGAGTCAGGAAATTACTGGATCTAAGGTTTTCAAAACAAATGTAATCATTTCAGATGAAAAGTACATCATGTGGTAGCTAGGGAAATGTATTACATAAAGCCTCATCCCCTGGGAAATGTAATTCAAACTTGACCAAAGATATAAATAACTCAGCCTTGATTATTAATTCATGCTGAACTAATAAATGGGAATCTACAGCATAGATTCAGTGATGCTGAGTAAGCTCTAGATAAAAGTTTGCTGGCAAAAGAGTTCTGGCACACAAGGTGTTACTTGACAGTTTTTAGGGCAGTGTGGCATATGGTAGGAACACAAGTACTTGCTGATTAACTGAATGCAATAAGAAAGATAGAAGACCTACAATACCAGTGTTACATGTACTGAGCACTCGCTGCCTGTAGCCCTGCCTCACTCTAGCTATGTACCATTATGTGAGAGAGACCCTTGAATCCAAAGTCAGCTCTACATTATACATATGACCCTTGGGAAAAAATTCAACTTCTCTGGAATTGATTTATTACCTGTAAAATGAAAGTCCTAAGGTAGGTTTGAATTGCTTAGATTGATTCCAAAGAGTAGTCAAATTGGAGATCCCTGACCATTAATAGCAGTTATTTTAATGGGGTCAAAGTTAATAAGACACACTGAATTTGTCAACAAGAACAGAAAAGTGAAACCCAATATCCATGGAAGGTTTATCGGCCATTTATTTTTGGGGGTAAAACTCTCAACTCTTTTATTCATAACCTACTACGGAATATATAATATAT